TCATGGATTTTTCACCACGATAATGCGCCGTCACATTCCAGCCTGATTGTGACTGAATTTTTGGCCAAACACGAAATAAAAGTCATCGCTCAGACACCGTATTCGCCAGATTTGGCTCCCTGTGACTTTTTTCTGTTTCCGAAACTCAAATATCCGCTCCGGGGAACGCGCCGGGGAATCGATTGAGGCCATAAAAAGAAATTCGCTGAAGGAACTAAAGGCCATCCCGGCCGAGGCCTATAAGAAGTGTATGGAAAATTGGATTAATCATTGGCATGCTTGTATTGGCTCAGAAGGAGGCTATTTTGAAGGCGATCATAAAGATTTGTATTAAAATACATAAAATTGTTGTTTTTTTTAACCAGTCCGGGTCAAATTTGATCAGATGGTATATACATATAAACATATACATATACATATGTGTGTGTGCGTGTGTGTGTGTGTGTGTATCTGCGTGTGTGGGTCAGAATGGGACTTACTGGTGTTCTGCAAATAGGGATGGATCCAATTCCTTTGGTGCTCCCAACACTCCACGAGGGAGGGTTGACACTCGGATGTGGAGGCTCCGGTCGAGTCGCATAATACACTCGGTTTTACGCAACTCAGCACTTTTTCTGGCAGACCAGTAAAGTATGAATACTAATCGTGGCAACGAACCGGCAGAACAATGTTTGATTCGGACAGACAGAATAGTGGTTTTGAATATGACTGGCAGATTAACGGTTGGAAATTGGAATTCAACTGAGTGTTCTTCGTAGAGGATCTCTTTTTATATTGGCGAGTTAGTGGTGCCGAGTGCAGAGCTCGCGTGTACTGTTGGTTTAATTTAGGATTAGAATTAAGGATATCGATTGTGAAATGGGATACTGGGATATATGTCTAAGACAACTTCCGTTATCGACCATTTGCCGGATGTCCAATAGTTTAGAGCCACATGTGTCATTTATTACAGACAACTGCTGTTTCAGTTTATAATTCTTAATCTATTTATTGTTCCTGTTCCTCGGAATAAAGTTTGCCTATTCAGCACTTGGTTCAAATATCTAATCCAACGACTCCGTCCCAAGTGGATTATTAGTTCACGAAGGTAAATGTTATTCGGTTCGTCGCTATTGTAACTTCTTATGGTAGAAACAGATGGTCTACCGTTGTTACTTAATAATTTTTATGAAGATGACGAAAGTTTCAATCACAGAAAAGAACTGTGGAGTCTGGACGTAACAATCAGAACTCTTCGTAAAGCGTTAAAATACATGTAGAACTATAGGAAAAGTACCATAAAACTAACAGAACTCTTTGAAATCGGACAGCGTCTCATCTTTGTTCCCTTAAACACCATTTTTTTAGGCAAAAAAATTGATTAAAAATCGAAATAACAATGTCAGAACTATCTGTAGAACTATCTATCTTTTCAAATCCTATAAAAAACTGTGACTGTAATCTTTGAATGAAGTTGGCCCAATATAAACCTAGTGTCTCGTTTTAATTTTGGATTTCTCAGCTTTAATGGCCAGAACTATTTATTTATCCTACAATTGAACTATTGAAAATAAACTCAGAACTCTCAATATTTAATAAGTTTCCACCAAATGAGATGCTAACTTTATACACAAAGACGGAAAATTTCATATTACAATGAGGCCCAGTTACACCAACGTTACTCTAATTTTAAGTGAGGCTTAAAACTCTCTTTGTCCCCGTCTCTTTTCGGTTTTAAAATAAGATAGAGAGAGTTTCGCTTAAAATCAAAGTAACATTGGTGCAACCGGGCCTGAGTACAAGAAGACATGGATTAGAAAGTGAACGCAATGGGTGAGAGAGAGAGAGAGAGAGAGAGAGAGAGAGAGAGAGAACAAGATTTCTTTTCCAGCAGACCTTGTGCCAAGTGAAGCGCTTCCGCTTTTTTTGCCTCCCTCGGATCCAACGCCTGTGATGTACTTTCCCCTCCCTTGACCACTCACTCTCACACATACATATACATATCGCGTACAGGGTATTCAAAACAGATTTGGCTCCCGGATTTACTCAAGAAGATGACATTTAAAAAGAAATGTTTCAAACAAAGATTGTAAGTTATAAAAAGGTTCTATTTACAATCTATTTCTTGTCAGTTTGATCTTGAGTGGCGTCGCCAAAGTCAGGTCAAATCAATGTTTTTTTAAATATAACACTCTATTTTTGATTCCAGAATGTAATAACTGGTGTTAACAGCTTCTCAAATCACTATAACAATTATTTGACTAGTAAAAACAGGTCTATTTTGTTTTCACTGGCCGGATAGACCAATCCTGCTTTTATGCAAATAATGTCAAGAACTTTTTAAAACAAGCGTACACACACGCTTTTCGAAAAGTTCTTATCACCGGCTATTAGATTATTCTGGAATCAAAAATAGGGAGTCATATTTAAAAAAAATCGATTTGACTTTGGTTTGATCTTGACGACGTTACCGAAGCTCAAACTGATAAGATCTGTAAATAGATTTTTTTTATACCTTATGACTTTTCTCTGAAACATTTTTTCAAAAACATCATCTCCCAAGTAAATTCGGAATCCCGATCTTTTTTGAACACCTTGTATACGTATACGCACTAACATATAATTGAATTAGAATCGGTATATCTATTTTACTCCCGGCCCTACCCTATAAAAATCATTTATATATAAAATATGTTTGAAGTCTTGTCTCTTTATCATGCATTTTTTATGTCCTTGTATCCTTTCTCTTTCCTTCTTCTACTCTTCCTTTTTATATAAAAATATTGATAAACTAAATTAATTAATCATTAATTATCATTTGGTGAGAAAAAAACAGAAAGAAGGAAAAAGACAATAAAAACTAAAGATTCACCTTATTATTAAAATATCCTCTTTCTTAAAATTATATTATTATTATCGCGTAAGGGAGCACGGCAGTGTTTAAAATCATGTCTTAGCACCGAAACACTATCGTGTCTCCAGATACAATATCTAAAAAAATTTACACTACAAAATAGAATCTTTAGCAAACACAGATATAACTGTTACATGACATATACGACATTATTACATCTGTGTCATATAAAATTATATTCTGTGTTTGCTAAGAATTCTATCTTGTAGTGTAAACCCTTTTGGCAATTGTCATTCTACAGATGGACTCACTCTTTCTCAGCTGCTAGTTGTTTGTTCTTTTGCTCGATTTCTAGGCCCAGTTTCGTAATATTTAGCCGCAAATTCTCAATCATCTCCTGTGCATTTTGCTCGCGCGCATGTGCCGCATCCGCTAATTTCGTCATTTTTGTGACTTCCTGTTTCAATTGAGCTATATCGTCCTGATAAGCCTCTACTACTTCTTTTAGTTCATTTATCTTATGCGTGTTATCTACAATTTCATTCTGAAAAAGCATTTGCCACATATAGAAAATGTATGGAAACGAGAATGAATTCTTTAAATAAAGAAAAAAAAACGAGAGAAAAAACTTTCGGTTTTCTCACTTGACTTGATGCATTTCAATTTTACCTTGAGCAACATGCATTGTTCCGATAGTTCCTTTTCATTTCTATGGGCTTTGTACAAGGATTCGTAAAGCCTTGTGTATTCAGTTTCAAAGGGTGCCAGTGCCTCATTAGCACTCATTTGTTTCGTTATCTAGAAGAAATAAGACATATTTATATTTATAGGATATTAATTAAGAAGCCGAAAAAAAATTTTAATATTAATGTATTTAAATTTTTAATAAAAATGTATTTAAACTTTAAATAAAGACGTATTTAAATTTTAAATAGAAACTTAATACGCAATGAGAATTTTAGTAGTCTATATAAAGCCTTGGATCTGAAATCTTAAAGCGAAATTTCAAACAATTATATATAGAATACGAGGTCTGGCTATTAAATAACGAGACTGCGCGCGCAGAAGGCGTCCTAGAGGGGTAGGGTGGGAAACGAATGCAGCGTTGGATAGCTGGAAGTGTCTACTATTCCAGTACGAAAACATGTTTTTGTCGCAGTAGTAGTATTTTTTCTATAGAGG